CTTGTTTTCCAGAGCGAGAAGTCACCGGATCCATCAAACACCGCGATCGGAACTCCATACATTTTCGTAACAACTTTGCTCCGCCGCCGAACCTGGCTCTGATACCAATTTGTAGAGAATCTTCTCTATCTTTAGACTTGAGCAAATGCTGAATGAAGACGATCTCTGATGAATCTAATATGAATCGAGAACAAGAACAGAAACGAAAGAACACGAGCAATTAACGAGTTCAGAATCCAAACCGGATTCCTACGTCTCGCCGGAGAAACTCCTCCGGAATCCACTAGAACTTGGTGAACAAAGTAATCGTTACAATCTCTCAGATGCTCTCTCTCTCTAAGCTTTCTCACTCTCAGATTCAACTCTCTCTCTCTCCTCAATCCAAATCTAACAAACTTGTAAAAAATGAATCGATACAGAGGAAGAGAAGAAGATGACTTAATATAAGAGCTGAAGCGAAAAGACGATTATGCCCCTCCTTGGTTTGTTAGAACCATCAACGGCATCACGTGAAACTCACGTGTCTTCTTCCTGCATCTGAAACTTTGAAACCCTCTCTTGACCTGAGAGTCTTCACCACACTTAGACTCCACCTGAAGAATATCATAGTCAATTACTTCAAATATAATGAACAATTTGGTTCAGTGAAGCTAGTTTTGTTAGCACCACTAGTGCTTGGTAAGCGAGCTCTCGGGGTATGATTCTGAATACAGTTTATGAGAGTCTCTTTGTGATTCTTATATATGTCTTCATGGAATTCACTAGGTGATCTTCTTGGAGTTTTTTGTTATCTAGAGAAGGTACAAGATCAATGCTTGATTCATTCAAATGTTTTTTAAGCAAGTTAAAATTATGCTTTGTGTCTCTGAGATTTCCTCACAGATTGGACTAGTACTGACTAGTTAAACCAACACCTTGAAGCATAAAAATTTATTGAATTTGAGTTAATTAGTTTAGCTTTAACATAACTCTAATGTATGGAAAAACTCAAATGATTCCACAATGTTGTTGTATAATATCAAAATTTCTTCCCTTGAGCCAGGTTAACTCGAATTTCCCGACCCTCAAGCTCAAATCCGTCAAGCGATTCAAGCGCGGTTTCCATTTCCTCTTTGGAAGAGTAACATACAAAGCCATAACCCCGTGATCTCCCAGTATCTCCATCAAACACAACTCTTGCCCCAACCACTTCTCCACATTCTCGAAACGCTCCAGCTAATGACTCAGAAGTAACAGTCCACGACAAGTTACCAACAAACAGCTTATGCTCTGTCTCTGGATACAGTGGTTCTTTGTTAGGTTTTGGTTTGTCAGCAAAGTTCACCTTCAAAGCCCGACCAAGATACTCCTGAGAAAAGACAACACAAGAACCATCAACCAAAATGTGTTTTTTGCCTTTTGTGAAAAGCTTGCAAGAAACTTACAGTTCCATCGAGGTTATCGATGATGATGTTACAATCTTCGACATTGCTCATCGTTACAAAGGCGAATCCACGACTCTGCCCTGTGTCTCTGTTGTAAAGAACCTCAACGAGCTCAGGGTTAGCAAAATCTTGAATAATCTGAGCCAAAGTTGCACTATCAACATTATAAGGCAAATTCCCAAAGTAGAGCTTAGTGTTAACGGCTGCAGGAGGATCAAGATCACCAGTTTTATCCTCCTCCTCCTCCTTCACTTCCTCTTCTAATTTTGCAGTTATGGTCTCTGGGAGGGCTTTGAATCGCCGGGAGCTGCAACTACGTGAGGAGGAGATGAGTAGAGGTTTTGGAAGTGAAAAGTTGAATCTGATGAATGTTTGGTTAGATGAGAGGTTGCAGCCATTAAGGAGATTGGGTTGATGATGGAGTTTGAAGCACGAAAGTGGTGCCGTTGATGCTGCCATTTTCTCTCTGGACAGAGAGAAAGAAACAGAGAGATTGGCCTAAGGCAGAGTCTGTCCACAAAAAGAGTTTGGATAAGGCCAAAAAAAAATTGATTGGCCTATCAGAACATCATCTTTAGAATTGATTGGTTCTGTAATCTATCACTTGGTAATTGATTGGTTTACTCTGGATTTTTCGGTTTCTTAATTTTGGCTTTTTTTTTTTTGACTGACATTCTTGATTTTGGTTTTGTTATTAGAGAAAAACAAACAAACCAAAAGTACTAAACTACTAATAAAGAAATAAATTTATTAATCAGATATAATCAGATATTTTGTTTGGAATAATAGTTTCTTATAGTCTAAATTATTGGTTTATAATAGAAAATTGTTCGGTTTAAAAAATTTCGGTTAACATTCTAGTTTGGTTTGGGTTTGATAGAAAAAACAAACCAAAAGTGCTAATAACGAATAAATTATTACTCAGATATTTTCTTATCAGTTGGCTAAAAAAAAAGAAAAAAATCTTATAGTCTGAAATACCGGTTTATAATCTAAAATTGTTCGGTTTATAAAATATCGGTTCAAGTGTTAGTTTGGTTTTGGGTTTGATCCATAATGCCATCATTTTTTTGCTTTACAGAAAACAAAAAGAAAAATTTATGAGAAACCTATTTTATTCAGTTTAATTTCAATTCAAAGGAATATTTATAAATTTTGAAAAAAGTATGTATAAAAAATAACTCAATAAATTTGGTTATTGATCTTAAATAACCTTCTCATAAATGCATGAAAGGATGTGTACCTACCAATGATCAATCCAACTCAATGCAATTCTTACAACCCATTTATACCTCACACATTCATACATCTAAATCAAATGTTTTTGGACTCATTTAACTAATGTTTTTATTTTCTTGAATCCTATTCCAAGAATTTGTGTAAACAAACCCCATTAATGGCTAAGACATAATAAATTCTATTAACAAAAACATATGTTTTCACAATCTTTTTTTTTCGATTGATTTCTTCATATGGAGAAGTACTTATATATACATTAACAGGACAAAAAAAGGGACTAAGTTCTTAATCTCTGCTTTTTTTTTTACATCTTAATCTATATAATTCTCATCTCCTATGTAATTTAATAACCAGAAAAGGAACTTATAATAATAAGAGAAGAGTTTATTCAATAAAGTTTTATATCTCTTCTTCTTCTTCTTCTTTAGATTCCATCTTCTGATTTTGATTGATCGATCTCCACACTACAGAGACTATGTTTCTTGTCCCTCACGTTAAAACCAAACATCAACTCGTAGCTTCAGAGATGCTCTGCAATGATGGCCTCCATGTTTTTGATTTCGACGATGCTGAACTCGTTAACATTGACCGTTGCTTCTCATCTTTCGTTTCCTATTATAAAAATAAACACACAAACCCATTAATTATTTTTAATTTTTTATACTAATCGTTGCTTATAGCTTAAGTTTTTTTTTAGCCAATAAATAGATTATTTAACCAAATCCATATCTAATTACTGTTAAATTCGAATAAATCTTGATTATATTCGAGTTGAGAAAGATAACGTACCAGATTCTGATTCTTGTCAGATTCTTCATTAATCTTCTTCTCAAGTGATGGCTTCTTCTTCTCTCTAGTCGTTTCACTCTGATGCTTCTTTGTCTTTGCGTACTTCTTAGCTTTCAAAATCTTCATAACCTCTGGAAACATATCAAACCATAATCAGAAACCCATTATTACAAGAACACAAAGCAAAATCTTGTGAAGTGATTACAGTTCAAAAAAAGAACACAAACCTTGTGAAGTGATGAGACGATAAGCATGACCAAGAACAAGATTCTCAGTTGGTCGGAGAAGTTTCACGCGCGTGAACCTCACAACCCTTCTCTCTACACTCTTATCATCCGTCGTGGTCGTCGTAGTAGTCGCCGGTATAGTAGTCTCCGGTAAAGGGATGATAAGAGAAACGTAGTGACCAGGATACATACGCATAACTTCACTAACTGATATAGGACCGTAATATCTATCGATCTTGCCGTCAGGATGTTGTAGAACCAAAGCCGCCGCATCAACCGCTTGACAATTCCCCATCTCTCTAGCTCCTTCTTCTTCCACACACAACAAAAACAGAAACAAAAAACTCTGTTCTTCCAAAAAATGATATGATTAAGAGAGTACACACAAGAAAAGAAACAGAGTAAGAAGAATGAGAGAGTTTTTGTGAAGGAAAGAGGAAGAGAGAAGAGAAGAAAAGAGTCTTTTTCGGGACAGCGTGAAGGGTTAGGTCCACCACACTGGCTTTGCTTATAAAACATGTGAAACCCTCAAAGAAAAAAAATTAAAAATTGTTATTATTTAATTTGGTTACATTTTGTGTGATTATTGTTATTAAATTGGACTGTCATTTTTCGGGTTTAATTAATGATAAGAATAATAATATTGTTTAAAGATTTGTAACCATATTGGTTTAAAGATTTGACTGTGGTTGCCCTGAGACATCTCTGACGTTTGCTTTATTTTAATTTTCTTTGGTTATTTTCTTTTTTTTGGAGTTATAAAAATTGAATGGAATAGAGTAATAGGATGGTCGGAAATTAAATAGTTTGATGTGAACGGGTGGGTGCCGGCACCGGAGATCAGGGACCGATGATTTTGACATTGTTTTTGTTCTTGCTCTTTAGAATAATTTAAGTTGTTTCTATTTATATAATTAGTTACTCGTTTTAGATCATGTGAAATATTTTAGAATGCTGCAATAAGATAATTAACCATTTCCTAGTAGTTACATTATTGAATGTTGTAGTGTTTTGACTTTTTATTTAGAGACTTGATTAGATACTAGACTAGTATAAAGAATAACTTAGCTTTCCAAAATTTAATTCATTTTGTTGTGTAATGGTACAAAAAATCAGATACATACATAAAATTGAACTTTCAAAAAACTAGTTAAGCAAGGTGTCTTTTCTTAGTTTATTATTTAAAATATCTATAACACGCGTTTGAAGAATCGGAAAAACATCAGTTTCAAATGACAATTGTCCAAAGGATTTGAATAAGTGCCGTTTCGAACTAATGTTTTTCTCGTTTCGATGTGTATTTGTAACGTTTGAAGAATCAAGAAAAAAAATAGTTTGAGATGACAATTGTTCAAATGATTTGAATAGGTGCCGTTTCGAACTAATGTTTTTCTCGTTTCAATGTTTATCTGTAACGTTTGAAGAATAAATAAATAAAAGTTTGAAACAATGTTTTTCTCGTTTTGATGTAACGTTCAATTTTTTCTCGTAAATGATTTTCTTTAAACTAATATTTTTTATAATTTCTTTTTAAATGTTACTCTTATTTTTTTTCAATTACCTATAATTAGGTATAAACATAAAATACTTGGAAAATTAATGTTAAAGATAGCAACTAGTCATTTGTGTATATATTCTATTTTTGTTCACTTGTAGAGACTATAGACTTTGGTTCTATTATTTTCCTTAGTCTTCTTAACACACTTGACATTGAAGTTATAACAATATATGGATACAAAATATTATACTATAATAGTCATACTAGAATTTTAGTTCTCTTCAACCACCAGAAGCTTAAGTATTATTCTGCTTATTTTCAAACTCGGCCTAATATAACATTTAATGCACGTTGAACTTGGACCATGGGGACAAAACGATATGGTATACATAGATTTAGAAGAATATAAGAAAAATCATAGACGATAGCTGAACATAACCTAACTAATAGATCCAAAAAAATCAATTTTGGTACCACTCATCACGAATAATAATACCAAAAAAATATCAATATTATTCTTTAGAAATTTTGAGACGTAATATAGATAAATAAAACAGGATTGTGGATTTTGGGTGGACAAGGGACACTGCAACTTCTTATCTCCTTTTTTCTCACTTTCACGGACTTAAATGCTTTCTCTTGACATTTTATTTTTGTTTGTATTTACTTTTTTGTATGATTCATTGATAAGGTAAGTATCGGTTCTGGTTCTTTTGAAGATGATCCGATTCATGTCCCAAATGGGTCATCTCGTCTCGATCTTATTTAGATTGGCAAAGGTGTATATGACATGTTCATGCATGGATAGTATTATAATGTGCCCATCCCTTGACCAAAGCACCCATATGGGAAACACTTCGATCTGACATGGTCAATTCTTGCTACGATATCCATTACTAGCAAATTATATCCTTTCGTTTAGTGGATATGCATACGTTCAACCAAAAAGATCATTGTTATATATTTTTTTTTGTAAAATATCGTTATCTTTCTTTTATCTTTTAGGACTATCGTTATCTTTTTTAAGGGTGGAAATATCTTATATATAGTATACAACTTTAATGATGACTACGTATGGAAGAGATATGCTAGGACTTAGGGTTCAATTATAGATGACGAACTAAAGTGAGATTTTTAGAAATGATTAGATATCAGATTGTTATTAGTGGAAGAATATTGAGAAATCTATAAAGTACATAGTTCTTTAGTCTCAATTGACTCGATTATATATAGGCTAATAAAGGTTTCAGAAAACCATAGAAACGAGGTTTGAAAATCCAAAAGAATATTTAGATGTAAAGAATGCACAAAACCAAGAGGTGAAAAAATAGATTTTACTCGTCATGTAAATTTAACGAATATAAGATTCATATTTAAATGTTTTATAGATTTACATTACGAACTACAGGCTAATCAACCATCACTGATTAGTAAAATGTAAAACTAATCAGTCACTTAATTGCAAGGGCTAATAAGATTTATATTACAAATTTACAATGTAATGTATGAGAGAAACTCGTGTACTAATTAACATGCACAAGCTCTTTAGTTTACACATTATTCAAATTTAATTTGGTTTAATGATCGATATACAGGTAAGTATTGGACCCATATATTTTGCTACAATTTCGAAGTTAATGGTCCATCTAAACATCAATAATATGCAAAAATACATATTCACATGAGGATGAGGTAATCAATTCACTCTAATAAATAGAACCCAAGATTCGGATATCCTAAGGAAACATCCTCATGATCATAAAAGTATAATAACATAATCGTATTTTTAGATAAAATAATGTAATTACTCTGACTCATGATCATCAAGTGTGCCCTCCACAATTATAATTAAAAAGGTCGTCCTTCGTGGATACATCCCTACGTCCCTACCTAATATTTTCACCAATTCATTGATATATTTTTGTTAAAAAAAAAAAAAAAAAAACAAATAAGAATAGCTAAAGTTAAAATTGAGATTTGCATATATACGGAGACCTAATCACGTTGACGTTTGTACGGCGACCAACACGCAACAAAATAAAAAGATTAAAAAGATTTTTAAGATCGCAAAATTATGTCTTTTGGTTCTTCATCCACCCAACATCTCAAACTTATAATAATCTTTTTAATCTACTTTCGTTAAACACAAACAAAACCAGCTAATTCTTCCAGAGCATCTTTGGGACTTGTTGGTGAGAAAAAAAATCTTGACATGATTAAATAACATATTTGAATAATTAAAAACAACTTAATAATTAACTAATTAGAATCCCGAGGATTTAGGACTAAGCTTATTAGTAGTTTTTAGTTTAAGACATTTAATTGTTGTTGACATGTGTGAACGAACACATGATCTGATACAACAACGGTCAGAGAGTGTGTTGTGTGTGTGTGCCATGTGAAGGTGTTGGAATGGTCTTTCGTCTCTCGAACTTATTAAATGTCTTTGACGATTTGGAAACTTCATTTTCAAGTTTGTTTCTTCTTCTACATCGATATAACTGCACATCCCAATCCATAAAACCCAAATAATAATAATAAATTTTCCAAAGTTTATTTTATTAATCACATGTTCACAACTACTAAACTTGTGCTAATTAACATTTTAAACCGTTCTATCATTTTAACCGTTAATGTTAACATATATGGGTTATATTATCACCGGACTTAATTAGTCTTCACAAATTTATACCAAAACTACAAAACCGTTGTATTATTTGATTTCTAGTTATTCATATCGTTTTCTAACATGTGAATGTTAGTTTGCAAAAAAAAAAAAAACATGTGATATTAGAGCATTCAAAGTCACAAACAAGATTCTGACTTTTTTATAAAATAAGAAAAAGTCAAATATAAATTAATTTTGGTCTATTTTTTTTTCTTGTAAAGAAATTAGCAATTCAAATATATATAATTAATATTTGCCATTTTGCACAAGACTTACAAAAATAGTTTGAAAGATCATGCATATTCGATATATAAACCTAGTATGATTTTTTAATATAAAAAAATAGATTGGAAGTGACTGAAATAATGATGATCTAAAACATTCATAAATATAGCTAGGCATGCGACTAAACTAGGGTATTAGTTGCAATCCGACCCCAAATATAATCATCACAAACTTCATTCATCCACTATCAATATTTCATTAATTTGGATATTAATTATAAATTGTGTCTATCTAAGAAAAAAAAAAAGAACAAAGAAAAAGTTTCTTTTGGGCTTTGGAATACCAAGGCTAAGTAAGAACTAAGAATAATCATTCGAGATGTGAAAGTTTCAGGTGAGGTGCAATCATCTATCTTCGGTTTCTGAATTGAAGTTGCTCTTTTATCAATGCATGATGACTCCAATGATATTGTTTGGTTATTTTTTTTTTTTTAATTTACTTTATGCTTAAGGCTTAAGCATGTTTAACAATGTCAGGGGTGGATTTTTTTTGTTTTCTTTTCTTTTTTCTTCTCACTACAATAACTTATAATATATAGATTTGAACTCGAGTGTAACAACAGCAACAACAACAATACAAACCATTAAGTTCTGTAATCATATAATTTACTAAAATTGTGTGGATTCTTAAATCGACTTTCATATGTTTTTTTAGTACAATACACTATAATTGTTTTAGTGTATATTTTTTCTAATTGTTATCATAGATAATTGTTTCCCTTCATTTCATAAAAGATCAAAAAGTAAAAGTGTTCTTTTGAAGAAAAAAAGTTAATTGTTCTATTGTGTTAATTAGTATTTATAATCTTCGTATAGATAAGGTAACCACCACTTATTAAGTGGACGATGAGTGTCCAAAGTTAGGTTTAGAATGTCGTTTTGTAGGCTTTGCATGCCACTATAAACATCCTTTAATCACTCTCTTTTGGCTTCCTCTACCAAACCATGGAACATTGAACCAAATGATCTTTATTCTATCCAATCTCTATATGTATAAGACTAAATTTTTTTTTTTTTTTTGACATCACCAATTCTGATTTCTTTCTCAAGAAATGATCACAAACTTTTATATAATTACAAAAAAACATTTGTGTGAAATGTCAAATCGTTTTCCGACAAAGAGAATCGGTACCAGAACAATACATCAGCAATCACCAACTACTGAGGATCCTACAGAGCATGTCAACTTTTATTTTCTAAATGGTTTTAGTAAATATTCATTTTATACAAGTTCCAATCATATGAGAATATTATTGCACGACAGTTTCATTCACAATACTGTAAAGTATTTTGCTTTGGATAATTTGTGGAAGTGACTTAATTTAATTCTAGCTAGGGTCGACATTTTATTTTAAGATCAAAATGATACATAGTTATATTATTATCTGTTTAGGTTTTGTTGTCCCTAACCAGAAGAATATGTATATTTCGTTAGATCAAAATATCTAATCATGTTTAGATAAGTGTATTTCTTCTGCACTATACCATATTAATAGTTAGTGGTGTTAGTAGTTTGTAGCATATTAACATAAATATAATTTATGCGTAGAAGGTGGACATTATCAATTCGTTTAAAAACCGACAAATCAAACAGAAACAATGGTACATGTAATCTTCTGACGAGAGATACTCTGCGGAAAACTTTTACATGTGTCGTTTGATATAGTTAAACCTTTAATAATGTAGTTTTGCATGATGTTATAACCATACTAATAAATAATATCATTGTCAGCTACTCAGCTTTTACTAAATAAATTGAATACACTTAATTGGCTTCAATGTGCAAGAACAGAAACGATATATTTTTTTTGCTAAACTTCTAAATATCATTCAAATGAAGGTTTAGGTTTTTTTGCTAACCTTGTTTTTTTTTTTTTTGCCAAATTAACTTATGTTATTAGGTATTGCTGTTATAGAGAGATACATATTTCAATAATTTTTGTCAACCTACCAATTTAAATCTTGATAATAACTTAACGAAATTATTACTATAAAGTTTTTTTTTTTGGTGTCAACTTTATTACTATAAAGTATAAACTGCTGAATTACATGTCATGGACCGCCATACAGATTGAGGTAAGTTAAGAAGCAGAAAAATTATAAAAAGTTTTGGATGTGGAAAAGCCAAAAGGAAGAGTATAAATTCATCCGTTAATTTGCATAGAAAATGGAAATCGCCATGTTTAATATTTTCTTTTTTTTTAACTTATGACTTTTATTAATTGGTTAAAAATTACAAAGATTGTAAGAGCATGTACATTAGTCATATAGGAGAGTATCTTTAATATATAATTAAAAAAATATATTGTAAATGTGAGATACTAGATCTAACATATCTTTAGGAAGACATTTTGATTGAGTTTGTTTTAGTTGTAAAGACATTTATAATATAATATTAGTAATTTTATAATTAAATTTATGTAAAGACATCTACACTAATTGATGTTTAGGAGTTCTAAACACCAATTAAAAACATCATCTTATTTAAAACTATTCTAAAACATTAGGAAAAAGAATGAAAGAAAGAAAGAGAGTATTATTTAATAAGGTCATCTTTTGGCAATTCATGTGCACTTGGAAGTATGATAGACCGTACATGTGAAACAGTGCACTTATACACACATACACGCAATCATGTATCAATATGTCAAGAGATAACATCTTTGATTTAAACACTTCAAAGAAATTAACATATAACTACGAGAGTGTACGTACACAAATTTTGACAAGAAAAAGCTCAAAACTCAAAAGGAATGAGAGAGAAGTAAGGAAGAGAGACAGAAACACAAGTCAGTGGCCTCTTTTGTCGCCCAAATTGCTTCAATTTCCTAAGAAAAATACAAAATTTTTGTTGTAAGCCATTATCCTAACATTATAACATCATAATCATCTTTACCGGTAGACTCTTTAAGCAACATTAATCATATTGATCACGTGATTTTACAAACAAAAAATATAATCTTCCCTTACTTCCTCTGTTTTATTGCAAGTATAATTATTGTATGAGCATATTTTTTGGTTATATATAAAAAAAAAAAATTCAAATTTTATTGCACCTTTTCTAATTCACTATATCTATTTAATGGTTAAAATGTTAAATACTTCTAGGAATATATGCATACAAAAGAACTTATCTATTCGAAGAAAACAAAGAAGAAGACTCATTCGTGGATAGAGGCTTCTTCGGAGGTTTAAAGGGAACAAAGAAGACTCTTATTAGGTGTCACAAACCAAACATCCTATTTCAAGTTTGATATTGAAGGACAAATCAAGATGTTTGGTTTGTTGGAAGCTTACTTAGAAGTTAGAAGAAGAAGAAGAAAAATCTTTGAGCTAGTTGACGAACCAACAACGAAAACTAGAGAAGGGACTATTCTACAAACAATAGAAATTAATCTTAACTTCAAAACCAGTGGATACACAACTCTAGAACAGAGAAGGGGAAATGCCATATCAACCATCATTCTTGAGTGTAGGTGTGACAAATGTGTTAGAAAAAAAAAATTCATCAAGGGTAAATAATTTACACTATATATGTGGGTTCCGGGCTCACACTGACAGCCCAATGGCCAATACACAAGTAAAACATTTATCTAAAACGGCAAGCTGTGCATGCGCAGTTTAAGGAAACAGAGTTGAATCAACTCTGTTGTTGATAGATGCAAAATGTTACACATAGTAGGGAGTCAGGGGGTCAAGCCAATGAACTCTTTCATGTTATTAGATGTCGAGGTTAAAAATAAGTCTGACATTAATTCTCTAGCCAAAGTAGAAACAAAAACTTATAATGCCTTTTAGTTATATTAATGTTCCGTGGCTCATTTTTAAATCTTTTGGTTCGTAGGTGTGCTTCCAAATTGCGAAAAAGAGTTATGTGCTAAACTAGATCTTCAAGACTATGACTATGACTATACGCCCACACAGCCGTGGTACAGTGGTAAGGTTGGAATAAACTAACCCAAGTTCGATTCACCCTGGAAACAAAAATCATTGTTGTGTGGGAAGTCTGTCAATTGGGTCAATGCCCAGTTGGTTTACCTGATAGTCAGAAATGCAGGCATCCTAACTACCCCTGTCATTAGTCAAAAAGCATTTCAAATTCGAGATAGTCAATGTAGTGGCCCTTCGGGAAGTAGTGCACTCTGAAATACTTCGATGCGTTTCTACCGAGGCTGACCAGATCAGCCGATAGGGTTTATTAAAAAAAAAAAAAAAAAAAAAAAAAAAAACTAATAGACTAATGAAACCAAAATTTAAACATACTTACAAGACTATGATAGCCGATAACTTATACAATCAACTAAGGTTAGACTTGTGTTTGACACCATCTTCTTTTTTTTTTGGTTCTCGACAGGTACTTGACATTACTCAATACTCAGTACTAGTGACACAGGACCTGCGCATGCATCTTCTCTGTTCGGTTATTTAAAAAACACGCTTCTTCCGAATCATGATCTTTCAAGTTTCCAAATCAGTTTAGAAGTGATCTACGTTTGCTTTCATGTTTTCGTTTCCTACTTCAGTTTGGTTCGTTAAGTCTGTGTGGTTTGTTCTCTAGAGACTTTGTAAAGAAGACAATAGAAGTTTTTGATAATTATGGCAGTGAGAGAAATGTATTATTCATATATATAATTTGTAAAGAAGTATGTTTTTCATAATTAATACTGCTGTCACATGTGAACGTCTTAATCTAGGTTTGTAAAGAAATTAATAGAGTTTTTAATTTTCCTTTGTTTTAATCAAAAAGGAAAACTAACCAAAAACAGAAAATTTACCCTTATCAATAATATATATATTTTAAGAGATAATCTAAACCTTGTCTAATTTATTTTTCTCAACCAAAAAAAAAACTAACAAAAACAAATCATTATGAGATTAATATTAAAAATCTTTGCGATTGTTTAATCACATAGGAAAATATTAAAAATCTTTATTGATATTAATATTTTAAATTTTAATCACATAGGAAAATAATTATATATACTTCTATTTACAACTGTTTTGAAATGCTTATGTATCTTGTAAACACTTTATGATATCAATATATTTGATTAGCCAGAAGAAAAAAAAAACAAGAAATATACCCATAAAAAAAGGAATAATTAGAATATATCAAAACCAAACCAGAAAAAGAAAAGAGTTTATTTCTGAAAGAATATTTTGTGACAAAAAAAAAGAGAAAAGGAAAAGAGTTATGGTTCTGCTTTATATATAAAAGAAAAAGAGTTGGTGGTAACCTAAACAAGAATCAAAGCCATCGAAACTTTTCTTCCTTAAAAAAAATCACAATAATGATATTGGACGTAGAGGACGAGATACTCTGTCGCGTTCCGGCCATATCTCTCAACCGGTTGCGATCTACTTGCAAGCGATGGAACAATTTATTCAGAGAAAGCAAATTCACTAGAAAGAACCTTGAGAAAGCCGCAAAGCAGTTTCTTGTTCTCATGTTGAAGGATAGTAGAGTTTGCTCGATAAGTGTCAATCTCCATGCAACTCGTCCATCTGCAAAGGTCACACGTGAACTTAGTCTAGTCGATCCTCGTTACAATGATCAACTCGTGATCTCTCAAGTTTTTCACTGTGACGGCTTATTGTTAGGCACCGACGATGACGAGAGTATAATCGTGGTTTGGAACCCTTTAACTGGCCAAACCAAGTGGTTCCAAACTAGCGACGGTGACAAGACAAACACCTACTATGCTCTTGGATCCTACCAAGACAACAAATCTGGCAATAAAAGCTACAAAGTATTGAGTTATGGTTACGACCAAGCATTCGAAATCTATGATTTAAACGCTGATTCATGGAGGACTCTTGATGCCGCCACTCCTGACTACCAGTTTCCTTATAGTGATTGCTGCACGTCTTTGAATGGGAACACTTACTGGCCGATTGCTTTACAAGAAGAGGAGAAACAGGAGCCATGCATATTCTTAGTAAGGTTTGATTATACAAGAGAGAAATTTGAACGTCTTAAGGGTCAGATTCCTATATATATGGATGATCAAATTGTGGCTCTATCGGTTGTTAGAGGAGAGAAACTTGCATTGTTGTTAAAACCCGAAAAGTCATCAAAGACTGAGATATGGCTGACGAATAAGATTGATGAAACCAAGGAGATATCGTGGAGCAAGGTGTTAGCGGTTGATTTTAGCCCTTATCTCCAAGATTCGTATGGTTTGAGTTTCTTGTTCGATGAGGAGAAGAAAGTCCTCGTGTGTTGTGATAACGACGACGACTGCGAACACATCATGGTATACATTGTTGGAGGGGACAATAGAGTCACACGAGACAACTTTGGAGAAGAAGATGATGCTACGCCTTTTCTGTTTTATTATGTTCCAAGCTTGACTCGAATCTAGCAAGGTGGTCGGACGGAGACAAAAGAAATATATAGGCAACAAAGCTTCGTGCAATGTTTTTTTTTCTTTCTTAAATTTTGTTTTTGTCTTAGTAATCTTGGTCTGAAACGGCAAGCTGTGCATGTAGATTTAAACCGGACGCAGTTTAAGAAAACAGAGTTGATAGATACAAAATGATGTTATACATAGTAAGGAGTCAGGGTCTAGCCAATGAACTCTTTCATTAGCAACATTTTCAACTATCAAACTGAGGGAAAATACTTGTTGAGATTGAATGGCAAAGAGTAAAACTCTTCACTTCTAGTATCCGATTTGAACGACATGAAACGATCCCACCAAACCATCCCTCGGTCTTTCCTCGTCGCACTGTCCTTAGATGACAATGTTACATCAAGAAAGAATGCTAAAATCCCAGCCACAAAGGCTTCAGAAGAGAATGGAACGTTGATCATGTCATTGAACTGCGAATAACACAATCAATCAGCATTGTATTTTGCTTATAAACTTATCATAAGTGAGAAGATTAACATTCTTGTTTTGTTTTGTACCCATCTTGCGTGTGTGTGAACTGGTCCATACTTGTTTACAGCTGTATACTCGTTGAAGTACTGTGGTACTGATAACCCCATGAAGAACGAGAATCCAAGGATGAATTTTGTTCTGAAGCTGTTTAGATTACAGAACTGAAGTAAGCTTAGACCACCAGAACCTGCAGTTTTATTGGTTAGCTCAGTTTGCTGTTTTTAAAAACATAGCGGTTTGAACGAAAGAAAAGGCGTTTCAAGAAACTTACCAACGTATGCAAAGAACAAGCAATGTAATGCTGCGACGATCGGAGCTGGAATCGATGCAAAGATGGCACCAAATTTACCAAGAATAGAGAAGAAGATCATAAAACCAGCTGATATTTGAACTACTCTTCTGCTACCAACGCGTGTTAAGGCTAACAAACCAGCATTTTCTCTGCAAAATCATCAAAATAACCATTACATATTACAATAAAGACCGTTGTTTTCGGTTCAAGTACTTGATTAGCTCATAGAGAAACAGGTCTTACACTGATATAGATGCTCCATTCCCTGCTCCAAATAATCCACAGAGGAGAACCCCAACACCCTATACATAAATACATTGACATAAATATAGACTCTTTAAGGGAGATTGGGATTGAATATTTTGTCAATGTTACCTGCCAACCGATTCCACGGCTGAGAACAGAAGGTGGCGGTGGAGTTGCACTCGAAAACCTCGATACAGCAATGTAAGTCCCTGTGGACTGTTTCCATGAATCACAAGAATAAGATCAAGAATACGTGCAATGAACAAAGTGTTCTGTGTTGTTGCATCAATAAATGATAGAGAAATTCTAACCTCAATAAGGGAAACAAATGAAACAGCCATCATAGCGAATGCTTCACCCGCATGAAATGTTGGAGGTCCCCATTGGAATGGGTAAGGAACTCTTATCCTGAAATCATCAAGAACCATTCTGAATTTGTACTAAAAACTACATAGCCTAATAATGTCACTATAGTATGCACAGAAATAAGATAGAAAATTTCTCCAACCATGGAGCACCACCAATGAGGCCAGAACGATCTGTTCTGCAACTTAGCTGAGTGTTGAGTCCTGTGTTCTTATAGGCTCCACCAACGGTGAGTAGGTGTGCGTAAATCCAGACAATAACAACAGAAAAAATCACAGCAAACCGATGGAACACTTGTCTTTCTCCTCTCATGAGATGAGGAATGTACTGCAGAAAGAAACCATAGAGATGAATCTTTGGTTAAGATATGTTTTGAAATAACGACAAGAGCTTGGTCGCTGAGCTCTAACCTGTGAGAATATGAGTAGAAGTATGATTTCAGGCAGTCCAATCTCAATGCATTTGGCTAGCTGCCAGAGACAGAACAAGTCAGTACTCAAGAAAATGTTATAAAACCATACGATAGATAGTAAAGCAAAACACACCAGTGGGAAACCGTGCTCATAAAGTCCAAAGCCGGCTAGTGCTACTAGAGGAACTGAAGAGAGAGGACTCAAGAGCCTGAAGAAAGTAAAAACAATCATTAAAAAATAGCAGAAGAGACTCAGTTAGTTTTATATGAAAGGAATGTTCTTAGCTAACCTAACTACATTGCGCCATAGCCCGCTGAAGCCAACGACGATCTGAAGAAGCGAAGCAACGATAAGAGCACCCTGGATTCCTCTCATTATCCTCTTAAATTTCTGCAATTTTTGTTCTCTATCAATAACAAAATCTGACACAAAAAGATAGATTCTCAGTTCTGTTTTTACTAACCTCCTGAGGATCAACAATGTCGCTGTACCGACCAGCTAAGATAATCGAAAGCGTGGTTGGTAAATAGGTGTAAGAGCCACCAATGACCGCAGGAAGTCGAGTACCAAAGAAGCTTTGTAATAAAGTGTTAAGTCCAGAAACAAAAAGCAATGTCTGAACCATCTTTGCCTTCTCTTCCTACACCAAACGAATACAAACCCAAATCAAAAACAGAGCTTTTCCCATAAATGTTGCATCACTTAACTTGTCTAAGAAGAAAGACTAACGTTTCCACCACCCATCTGCGGAACTAAATATGTTGGGATGAGAACTGTAGTTCCAAGCATCACCAAGTAATGCTGAAACCCCAAAAGAACTGCCTCAGCTGAATCATAAAAAAAAAAAGAAGTAGCGATCATTGAGTTGTAAACTCAAACATAACAACATGAAAGTATAGGAGAGAAGAGAGTTTACGCCAAGGAGGAGGACTAGTGATACAATAAGAAACAGAAGGAAGCTGATCTTTCACCGGATGTGGCTCAAGCTCATCTTGTTTCAACTGCGGCGCAGCCCCTCCTCCTCCACCACCAACAGCCATTTCCTTTTCACTTCTGATGAAAACTCCAAGAAGCAAAAAACAGAGAAAGGTTGGATCTTTATGTTGGAAATTTCAAGAACAAGTGAATATTGTAGGAGACTAGCCTAGGAGAGATATTACAAAACCAAAGGCACCGAAAGTGAAAAAGGGTATAGTAATGGAGGAGAGTTAAGAAAAGTGAAAGAAGACGAAGACGAAGCTAGAAAAAGAGAAAGACATTTGTCGGGGAATTTTATGTAAGAAACCGTCAATATAAAGCCAAGAACGTCAAAAAAGTTGATTTTGCGCGTTTTTAGGTTAATTAAAAAGAACTTTGAGAAGAAAGAACCACTTGGAGGACACGGAACCCTTGTAAAGAAAATTATAATAATATATATAAACCCAAAAGCTTCAATGTGAAGAGAAGATGAAAAGAGCTATTTTAACTTGCTTTTTTGTTTTTGTTTTGTGAATGTATATTAGTTGATTACAAAGATCAGGTCAGACAAATAGGGAAATTATAATTAGTTGATTACAAATATAAACAAAGGTCAGAAGGTTTTTTTTTTTTTTTGAGTTTTGAGTATATTTGTATGTTAAAATAGTTCAAAAAATCTTTATTTTACTGACATATACAAAAAAATCTTTATTTTACAACCCTACATCCTCTATCAAAAAAATCTTTATTTGTATGTTAAAATTAGTTCAAAACTCCGGATTACTCCGGATTAATGAAAAACTAATATTTAAAATCCGTAGCTCAACCAATTTATCGAAACTCTTTCTTTGTTTTAACAAAGAGTTTTCATGTGAGAAGACTTCCGATGAAGCTGCTATAAGTTTGAGCACCACCAATGGAGTTGCGAAGACTTGTTAACATGTTCTAGACTTCTAGCTATAAGCCCGAAAAGGTTAATGCCATAAGTATAAATAAAACGTATTGGTTTAGTCGGATGGAAGAAGATAGCTCATGACATATATATAAGTCTTCCTTGTGAGGTTAGTTGGCCGAGTGGACCGGTCCGCATAGGTTCTTGGACTAAAAAGAATGAAACGAAAACACTCGTTTCTCATAGTGTGAGACAGACTCACACTTTTACACACTTTAGCATTACGTAAAGTCGAAGCAATCCCTAGGAGCATCTCTCCCTTTAATACCTTCGTCGTCACACTTTACTGTTACTATTATAGAATATTCAAATAATCTTTCTTAACTTAGTACAATAATTTTTCTAAATTGGAACCACATTAATGGAATAATGGGGTTGCCATTTTTGGATACTTTTTATTTTTTTTTAAATTCTTCAATAGTTGGAAACTTGGACGGTTTACTTCACCCACCACCGTTTTAAATTTTGAAATTTTATAACTAAACATTGTTAACGATATTTTATTCGATATATATATATATATATATATATATATATATATATATATATCAAAACATTTTATTTTTCAATTTAATAGCAATACTTTAATCCATCAATGATTTTTCAGAAAATATATTTGCACAAACATTTAAGTTATTTTGGAACATATATTTGGTTTTTTTTTTCAATGTTTGTGAAAATTCTTTTGGAACATATATCTATATATCTAATAGATGGACCGGCTGGTTCATTCCATTTATATATCATAGTGAGACTCAAGATTAAAAATGGCCTTCAAGTGCTTTCAGATAATTGACATATATATTTATATTCACTAATGATTCCACATTTGAGGTTACAAGACTGCATCGTGAGTTTAGTTTAGATACCAGTAAAAAAAGAAAAACATTGTAATACCTTTAAGTTATATAGACTTTGACACATTCCTCGCCAAAAAAAAATATGTTACAAGACTTTGATATTAGATTTGTTTTTTCCTCACAATATTTCCTTTTTTTTGTTTGATTTAGTTCCTTCCATTTACTTACCCTTAATTTTATGTTTAACAAAATACGACTAAAACTTATCTTGCAAACCAACCGTTTTTTTTTATAAATTAAACTTGATCAAAATCACCATTTCCGAGCAAAAGTGGAGTTGTCTGTTCATCTGAATCCAATTGATGGTTATCGTTTTTCACCACCGTTTCCTTTTGATCTTCTCTTTGATTTTGACTCCACATTATCAACAGATATCCAGTTCCAGCTATTGCAGCTCCTAACACACTGTTCATAATTAAGAAGTTTAACATGATAGCCCCAACTTATCAGAATCAAATAAATTGATGCAAAACCCATAGTATTCTATGATTATTTCACCTTCCATAGTGAAGACTATTGACAAAGAAGCTTGTTCCAAAAATGGAAGCCCAAAGGATCCCAAATGGCTTAAACAATGGCACATAATAAGGCCCCTTCATTTTTGAGCACTTCACTTGAACACTTGTTCTGATTATGCTTCCAAATATTCCCTATAAATTAAGACATGATTTATACAACGTCCATATACTAAGGAAACATTATATATGATAGTAACTATAATATATGATTACTAATTAAATATATATATATGTACCGTGGCGATAATGAGATATAGGTCCATGTTAAGTTTGAGTTTCCATTCATTTAGGTCTGGCTCCATGAACGCTGAGAAAATTGCACATTGGACTGTCCCAGCTAAACTATAGGCAGACACTACTTTCATCACTTGAGGGTATTTCTGGACTGTATCCAACTGATACACCAAAACCCGAGAAAGAATATCAAAATATGAAAACTTGTATGCTCATATATAAGAATCTAATTTTGAAGTCGAGAGTCGTGATTTGGTTACCTGTATGATATTCCAGATGGAGATAGAGAGTGTGGCACATGCAAGAAGAAGAGAGCCTAGAGCCCAATTATCAGAGTTCTTGAAGAAAGTCAAGTAGTGTGAGATTGTAGTGAGGAAATTGGAGTTTGGAGATGAAGAAGGAGAAGGTCTAATGAAAGGGCCTAAGTAAATAACTTCTACAAAGGCTCCAGTGAAGCATATCAACGTGCCTATCACTCTTCCTTTTGTTCTCTTACTTTCCCATCTTAGCCCTCCTTCCCTATTTAGTAATATTCCAAATTTATACAAATTAGAGGAAAAAGTGTTAGTTATAATTCAGTTATTAAAGAATAATATAAACAAAAGCTGAGTTTTAGAGAAGTGATTAGTTTTTACCCATGAACAAGAGAGAGCAAGAAGGAGAAAGCAGGTGATTGCAAACCCATTGCACACACCACAATTGGAGAGCTATAACTTAACCCCAAAAATGCCATATTTTGGTACAAAAACACCCTGGTTCAAGAAAATATTTTATCAAAGAATCTAAAATTTAATATAATTCATTTTATTAGAATCTCTATATATATGTAGTTTTGATCAGAAATCAGAAAAGAAATAGGAATCAATATATCTTATATAAATAGATATAGAATGATATAAACTAACCCTGTAAAACCGAGTAGGAAGATACGAACAAGGGAAGGCTTCGTGAGGAATGGTTCATCGTCCCTGCATATCATCATAACATCTTTAATTGAGAAAGACATATATAGATTGATCGTGTATGTGGGGATTATGTAGAGACATGATACTTTTAAGTACGTACCTTTCATCTCTATGGAAGTAGAAAGAGTAAGGGAGGAGAAGGAGAGAGCCAAGAGCGTTGGTGTAGACAATAAACACGAAAGGGCTCATGCCACCCGTCAACGCGGTCTTAGCCAAGATGGTAAGTGCAATGGTACATGCCTCCATCAACGCCATTACAGTAAATGGAACTATGGTTTCCCATCTTGTATCCATTACTCCCATATCGATCGTGTGTGTGCGGCTTATATGTATATTGTTGATAATGCACGGCCAAGTACCGCCAAAATGTGTAGCAATATATATATAGGCTAACTAATTCTCTTTATCTCTCTCTCTGGAGAAAATGAGAGACCAAGTCCACAACACAACTGTGTTAGGGTTGTCTTGTAATGAAAATGTTAATGTGAATCTACATTAGTAATATTTATATATGTGTGATTGCATGTGAGTGGAAGGCCAAATGAAGAAGAGGGCTTTCACTAGACGTGGAGGGAGTCATTAGTTAACCTTTCGAGAGGCGATGAAGCTAATAAACAATTCGTTGCGCCTCAACTCTTACGACTTAATTAATTATATATATATCTTGAATAGTTTTTGTTGGAAGAAATACGAACATTACCTTTTCTATTTAATTATATACTAAAAAACTTGCGAAATGTTAAAATCAAATTTTGTTACACAAACATTCCACCAACCATCCTTAACAAGACTTTTGTTTTTTTATATAACATATTTACACCTAAAGAAAAAATTTCATTGGTTGAAACATGTTACAAAACATCATTTATAAAATATATATGCAATATTTTATTTTACAATATTTTTAAAGGCATTATATATTTTAAAATAGTTTTTAAGGCATTATATATAGAACAAAAAATATGATGTTTAAAACCAATTTTATGTAATATCAACTCCAAAAAATCATCCTGATAATAATAACCACAAATATATTTTTTTTTTGGTTGGAAGGCGTATTTATAATAACCAAAATTTGCCTATGGAAATTAACATGTTTAATGATAGTGGTAGTAGTAGCAGTTTTAATGCCACAACTATAGTGCATATATATTTCTTGGTCAAATGAGATTTGATTGCAAGAGACAAAAAGTTCGACTCAGATAGGTTTTGTTTAATATGTACGCTAAAACAATGCCTTTTTACGTTGTTAACTTCAACTGTCAAACAAATATAAAAGAAAATAGGATTAAAAGATGATGGCAATCAAAATTAACAGAACATGAAATTTGATAAATATTTTGGATGATAAGAAGATTTAATCATGTTTGGAAAAACGTGAACAAACTATCCTCTATGTTTGAGTTACCAGATAACTAGAGGCACAAAACAATATAAACCACAAACACAATTAGTTTAAAATTAAAATTATTAAATAATATGAAAACCCTAATCTCAATAACATTCTTTTAGTCTTTATAAAGAACAAATCTGAATAAAATAATGTTTGACTTTGAAATTTTCTTGATCTATATAATTAAGAGTCGCATTTCCTTTGACGTAGCAGTTGGGGGAATGAAACGTCACCTTGACAATAATGTTGGGATGAAATGTGGTGATGACATTTGAAATATTCCCACGATGGTGTGAGGCTGAGGAAAAAAGAATATATCTTGAAAATATATTATCTATTAACAGTCCTCACAAATAAAATATTTTATAAATAAAATTAAAATAGGTTCCGTATTATTTTTCTAAACGAATAAATCTTACTGTAAATTTAATATTTCAATTAGGATTTATTTCTTAATTTGATAAAATTTGTTGGTGATTTATGTTTTTTGGGGTTAATGTTAAACTAGTGATCGACCCGCACGTACGTGCGGGGTTTTTTTGCAAAACGTTTTTTACACATAAATCTGTTATATTTATAGAATTTTTGGTGTTATGGTTAAATTTAGAAAAGTTATGATTTTAGAAGTGTTTTATTTAAAAGATAAAACATTACCATTAACATGTATAAAAGATGAGCTTTTGTGTTATATAAGTTTATGGTCCAGGAATAATGTAAATGGCTTTTGTTTTAGACCCAAACATGATATAAAACTACAGAGCAGGCCCAACAATACGTTTTGCTTTTTTTCCCCCGACAGGTCTAAATGTTAAAAAAATAATAAAGAAAAAAGATTCCAGAAAAGACAAATAATGAATTGTTGTCTTCTATCTCCAAAATCACCTCTTAGAAATCGAATCGGTTGAGAAGCTTCACATGGAATCAACCAAAAATGAGAAATCGAATCGGTTGAGAAGCTCCAAAAATGAATTTGCGGCATCTGTATTTTGGGTTCATTGTCTCTGAGTAAGTATAATTGAATCGTTTAATGTTTCTTATTTCTGGAAATTTACTCACAGATGTCGATTGGGTTTTTCTGATTTTTAATCAAACTGTTCTTAGATTCTTGAAAAGTAATATGTTTTATGTGCTCACTTATATTGCTTTCGTAAATGGGTCTTACTCATATAGCATGATTCTGTTTTAAAATTGTTGCTTTAAATAGAAAATGCAGTAAATAGAAAACAATGTCTGTTTTGTGGTCCATCTAAGTAGCAGAAACCTTTTCCTTCTCCTCAGCCTTTTCTGAATTGTTGGTTGTAAAACAGTAGTTGGAACACTTCTTTGAACACATCTTATTGGGAGAAACCTGTAGTGCAAAAGATGAAATTAATCTTGTTAGTTTGATTGTTACAGATTGAATAACTTTACCAATCTGTTAAAATAATAAGTGCTTTAATATGTAAGTGTTAAACAACAGTTACCTGAATTGCTGGTTGTAAAACAGTAGCCCCTGTTTTACAAATTTTTAAACACTTCTTTGAACACAACATTCATCGTTTCCTTCTGAGGTTTTCCTTCTTTATCCACTATCAATACCTTTAACCCTTTCTTAGTAGTCACTCTAGAGACAGCTACATAAAGTTGACCATGTGAGAAACATGGTCTAGGCAAATACACTCCAACGTAATCCAAAGATTGCCCTTGACTTTTGTTAATAGTCATTGCAAAAGCAACAACTAATGGTAATTGTCTTCTACGCATCTTGAATGGTAGTTTAGTGTCTGAAGGTGTGATTAATATCCTAGGTATCAGGACTTTATCCCCTACTCTGTCACCTGTTAGAATGATAGCTTCCAGAACAAACTCAGCTAACTGTGTTATCTGCAACCTTGTACCATTCATTAGTCCTCCTCTTGGATCGATATTTCTGAGCAACATCACTGGACAACCAACTTTCAATCTTATTCTATGATTTGGCAAGCCAGATACCGTAAGATTGTTTAAGAAATCCGGAGTTAGAACTGGATTGTTTTTGCATCTTTTGTCAGCCGGATCTATTGAATCTGAGCTGAGGTAAGTTCTTTCCTCACCTTCATAAAATACATGAAAACTATTATGAGCCAGCTAAACGTTTTATAAACAGTAACGAATAAATATTTTGTAAATTTTTTTACATAAAAGGTTAGTAGTTTGCACTGACCTTCAAGCTGATCAAGCATATATTCATTAATAATGCCGACATCCTCGTTTGTTGGACATAGAATAGCTCTTTGCTGAAAGAACACTGGATCCTTCTTATCTTTCAAGCACTTCGCATCTCCATAAATCTCTCTTGTTATTGCCTCAATAGGATTTCTTGCTTCTGTGATCAAGAATTCTTCTGGAATATCAATCATGACTTCACCATCGTTAGGTTCAGCTATCTTCCCATCCCCAACTGCTAAAATCCACTCTGAGAAGTCCTTTAGCTCTTTTGCCTCTGAAACAGTCAAATTATTAGATAGAAGCCTCATATTTTTTGTTAACTTTAAAACTTTACAATGCTCCCATATGTAAGAAGCATTGAGTGCAGCCATGCAGATTTCTGCTCTACCAGCATTAGGTATAATGGGTAACACTTGTCTGAAATCTCCTCCAAAAACAACAACTTTTCCTCCAAAAGGCTTTTTCCCATCTCCTTTAATAATATCTGAGAGACTTCTATCTAAAGATTCAAAGCAATGCTTGCTCATCATTGGAGCTTCATCCCAAATTATTAAAGATGCTTCTGCCACAAGTTGTGCTTGATCAGTTCCAGGGCTCATTGTACACACACTACTTTCGTGAGGGTTTATTGGAATTCCAAACCTAGAGTGTGCAGTCCTCCCACCCGCTAGCAACAAAGAAGCAATGCCACTGGAAGCAACGTTAAGCACAATAGATCCTCTAGATCTCAAAGCTGCTGATAAAGTGTTGTATAAAAATGTTTTTCCTGTACCGCCAAACCCATAAACAAAGAAAACACCTCCCAAGTCATTATCAACAGCTTCCATGATCTCTTTGTAGATATGGTTTTGCTCATCAGTCATCTGCCTAACCCATCTGTCATGTTTTTCCTTCTGTTCTTCACGATCGTAGTTCTTCTCATCAAAAATCAAAACATTTGTGTCATCCATGCTTTCTTCGGGTATTTGAGGCATAGTCCTAAATGCTTTTAAAGAAGTTCCATTGCTTTTTAAGATGCTATCAATATGCAGTAATGCGAATTTCTGCTTTTCCTCATCATCCAGATTGAGCTCTGCATAATAATATAATATGTTATTTATCATATAAATTAAGTAAAAGTTTGTAACATAATTACTGTTACTTTAATCTTATATTAAATAGATGGGATTAGTCATTACCTGGTCGGTTAAAATACTCCCTCCTTTGCTTTTCTATGTCTTCTGAAAGTAGTTCCCAAGTTTTTTCCCAAACTAATTCTGGTTGTGACAAACTAAAAGATTGAAGCATAACAACGAATAGACGACGCAAGAAATTTCCAGTACTCCAAAAACTGGTTCTTATTATATCATCTATATATTCTTGATCATTGTCAAGCAATCCCAGATGGAAGCATGCCTCTTTGAAGGTTTTATAAACAACTCCTTTCACTTTCTTCAGATCATCAAAACTCTCTGGACCAGTTTGAGTGTTAAGAAGCACTCTCAGATAATATCCATCTTCTATACTTATTGGAACATAGTTGATTCTTCCAATAGTACGACTTTTTCTCTTCCGCAAGTTAAATTTTTTCCTTTTCCCATCCCATGTATAATACTCTGGTATTTGCGCATAAGTCAGTGTTTTGGCAAAAGGGCACACCTTATTTAATTCAAACTATGCGAGAAACATGGATAGAACTAACTCCCCCCTATCAAGAACTGTTTGTACCTCATCATCTCCTTTGAAGAAGACCATATGTTTTCCTGGTAAATGAAAAGATAACCTTTGAACTGCAGTAGACCGGAAACATATTGGATTTTTTAAAATTCTCCATCCTGCTTCGCATGCAGATACATACCTGCATAATTAGTTTAAAGTAATATGTTAAGTCTTTGATTAGCTAAAATAAAAAATTCAAACGTTTTTATAAAGTTATTAATATCTATACATAACAAACCTGCAATCGAAAAAGTCTTTTATCTCATTTGAACTACTGTTACCAGTCGCATTCTTTACAACCTTGTCTCCCGTTTTCCTTTTCCGGGCCGCACTATTGTCTTCTTCATTAACTTGCGTAGCTGGCTCTACAACAACAGCAACACGATCTTGTCCTTTAGTAATATACTTGAATAAGTATTTAATCGAACCTTCTTGATTGCACCACTCAACATTGATATGAGCTCTATATCGTAGTGACAACACTCTGTTATATGGAATGACGTAGCGATTATCACATTTAAAACCCTTCTTCTCAACAAAGTGCTTTGTTTTCCTTCTTCTATAAATTGGAAATCCGTCCTTATCCACTGTAGTTTTATCAACATGCTTCTTTGGGAAAAACTTTGAACATTTCCCTTCTTCCATACATGGAGAATTCCTGTTTACAGCACCACATGGTCCATGTATCATGCAGTCTTTAACAATTTCATATAGCTCTGGTTCTCTATTCTTGTCAGGGATTTCAGCAGAAATGATCTTGTCAATATCTTCTGCTTTGGGAAACTTGTAATCAGGATGCATCCAAAGCAAAATGTGAGCATGTGGTAATCCTCGTTTCTGAAATTCTATTGTATACATCGCTGCACAATTATATCAGTCAAAACTCTTTAGAAAACTCATTCTATAATATTATGCATTTATAATTTGTGACAATGCAAAAGAGGCAAGTGTTATAAGAACTTACACGACACAGTTTTCCCTAAGATGTGCTTTTTGGTTAGATCATCCATAAGAGAACTGAGTTTCATCTTGAAGACTCTGCTGATTATATCTGGCCTGTCGTCTGGATTTAGTTTCCTTGCTCTACAAAATCTTTGCAACTCTGGCCATTTGGTGTTGCATGTAAAAGTTATGAACATATCTGGGAAGCCATGGTACTTACACACTGCCATTGCATCAAGATACATATTCCTCATATATCTAGGTCCTCCAACAAAAGTAGCGGGTAGGTAATATTTGTTCCCTTCTTCATTCATATCTGTTCTGCCATGATTAGCAGCATCCTTTACAGCATCATAATTAGCAGCCCTGAGACTCGATTGATTCAACTTAATATAAGTTAACCTGTTAGTCTCAATAGTAGTGTAAGCATCTACTAAGAACTGCTGAAACAATCTTTTAGACAGAAGCAGATTATGTGACTCGTTATGTCTTTCTTGTATACGAAATGCAAACCACTGACGTAAACTTATACAGTCATTCTCTTTCTCTGTCTCATTTTTACTCTTCTTCTTCCCACCTCTTAGACCTTTTTTTATTCCTGGTCTATAACCATCTTCTCCCTTTGGAAACAACAAAGGATACTGTAGAGACAAATATGATGGATGTGTTTCACTAATCCTTTGTAAGTGGCCTGATTTTTCTTCAACCACTATATCACGAGTAGGCATACCTACATGGAAATCTCCCGGGATCAATGCAGCCACCTCATTAGCTGTGGGGACAGCATATGTTCTTCCGTCATTCTTGCGATCGCTTACAATTCTCATATGGAAACTTTCTTCTGGATTTGTATCTAGCCTTTCCTTAGCCTGTCTGAAATTTTCAACATATGGGTTCACATCATCTAGTAACTTGATTATAGCTGAGATTACTTCTGGTCTTAAGTTCTGTTTCTTCTTATACTTTCCTGCATTTGCTGACTTACTGAAATGAAGCATAGAAAACAATCAATTAGCGTTGGTAATTGTTTCACTATAAAGTAGAAACGTAAAAACTACTAAACACATACCTTAAAATGCCAGCTCTGTTTTGTACTTCATTTTCTGTGTCTACAATATAGAGCTGTGAAAACTTTGGGAAATCACCATCTTCAGGCATTAGACTACCAAGAAGATGATAATTTTCTCCTTGTATCTGAAACATATTAGGACCATGTCCTTTAAGAACATTGTTTTCACAACTTCCACCTAGTGATGTGAATGAAAAAATCATGTTGTATGCTCTGATATTCTCTCTGAAATGCCGACTCAATTCATCATCATTTGTAAGTAAAGCAAACAATAGCTCAGGCTGATTATGTAAGAAAGGCAATTTTACTGCTCCTTGTAAACAACATTGTGAGAATGTAGGGTTACGATCCCTTTGGTGTCGGTTAATGCGCTCACCGTACCACATAATAGCTCCACAATATGAACATGAATATGTAGGATCCCCATGATCAAGATAATCTGCAAAAGAACATATTGTAAATGTTGGTTAAGTATCAATATGATACTATTAGCTATATTTGAATACATGGCTTCAATAGTTGTTGTTTACTGTTGTTGTACCTGTTTCTTTCTTTCTCAATTTTCGTTTAGGATTGTTTTTGGTTGGAGTCCCAAAAGCTTTTGTCAAACTTTCATCTAACATGTTGAGAATTTGAAACCCTTTTCTGACTTCTGCAGAAACATTTTCACTTTCAGAGTCCTCTTCTGAAATTTCAGATTCATGATCATCACTACTGCTGGTGCATTGGTATGTGTGTTCTTCTGTTATAATCATATAGAATAACATTAGAATGGGATCATGAGTATATGAGCACGGAATGGTAAAGAATATAAAGTTCACTATAATCAACTAAAAAATTACTAACCTGTGCCAATATAAGGAATCTCATTTATATTGTTTTTGGGAGACGTATGAGGATTACAACATTGATTGTTTTCCCTTGTTTGTAAGTTAGTTTGCTCAGTAGGTTTCCATTGTCTTGCTAGAGATTTAGCAAATCTTAAAGATGTTTTAGGCCTTGTAAGAGACAATCCTTGTCTCACTGCTTCAATTGAAAACGTTAAAACATGAAAATAAGTTGTCAATCACTACATTTTTAATTGAGTCACAGTTAGTTTTCTTGTACATTATACGTAATACTAAACACTTATACTGTAAACATTTAAACAAACGAAAATACTAATGACTATGGGAAAATTTAAACAATAAATAAGAAGATTATAGTAACATACCAATCAATATGTTTTCATTTAAAACATCATGTGTGAGGATGTTTTCAAAGGTAGCAAGATCAACATAGAAATCATTTGACACTGAAGGACATCGAGTTATGATTGTTGAATTCATAATCGACATTTTGTATTGATGCTTAGTTGCTCTAAACTTCCCAGAAGCTCTTGTTAGCTGAAAATTTTCGATGATTCTCCATTCTCCAAAAACAATCAGACGTTGGAACTTGTTCAACTGTTGTTTCTTAATGGTAGCATGAATGAGTATTCCCTATATGGAAAAATACATGAAAATATAAATCATATAAGCTACTTATAAGCGTGTAAAATAAAAGTATAAAGTCAATATAAAGTACTTAAAAATTAACTTACTGCTACATCAGCCAAGATCATTTCTATGGTTTCTCCCGTGTAAGTTGTATATTGTCTCCATGTGTGGACAATCTTGACCCGTATCTTCCAAGATGTCTTGAATGGTTTGATAGCAGCAAGATCGGTAATACCCTCATTAGTAGCCATTGTGTTTTGTGAATTTAAGTGTAGGTTTATGCAAAGTTCTCTTTCGTAGAGAATAGTAAGAATCGTAGGTTTTATTTATAGAGGTAATTACTTGGTGGGTACGATGGGCTAAATTTAAGGCTGTTAATAGAATAAATTTTGTTAATAGTATATATTTTGTTAACATTTTGCTATTGATGAGGAGATATGACGTTAATAGAATAGATTTTTTTAACATTTAGCTATTGATGAGGAGATATGACGTTAATAGAATATATTTTGTTAACATTTTGCTATTGATGAGGAGATAGGATGTTAATAGAAGATATTTTGTTAACATTTTTGGTTTAGCAAATGAAAAAATATTCGGATGTTTATAGTTAGTTGTTATAGTAAGTTAGATTGTCTTTGATATTTTCATATTTTTTGTAGACGTCAATATTTTTTTAACATTTTCGGTTTAGGAAATGAACAAAATATTCGGATGTTTATAGTTAGTAGTTATAGTAAGTTAGATTGTCTTTGATATTTTCATATTTTTTTGTAGACGTCAATATTGTTTTAACATTTTCGGTTTAGGAAATGAACAAAATATTCGGATGTTTATAGTTAGTAGTTATGGTATCATATATTGTCTTAGATATTTTATTTTTTTGGTACAGGTCGTGAATAGTAAATAAACTATTGAAGATTCTATGAAGAAGATCTTAACAGGCCTAGAGGTTTATGATTCGGCCCAACAGAAGAATCAAAAAATCGGACCTTAATAAACGGTTGTGTTTTTGTATTTAATCAAATATTCAATCTTTACTCTCTGTTTGGCAACAGATTTAATTTTCATGAAATTTTTTTTTTTAATGGGGTGCTGTTTGGCTTCAAGTTGTACTTCCCAATTAATAGTATAGATTGTATGTCAAGATTAATCATTTACTTTTTTTCATAAGCAGACTGCAATGGTAAAAATTACAAATGAGTTAAGCACACTCAACTTTGAGATCGGATTTGAGATGTGAATTCAGACTTTAAAAAGTTTAGCATAATTTAATTACAGATTTCATATTATAATATGGTCTTTAACTCTGGTTTATAAGGAGATGATCGTTATAATATTTTTCTAACACAAAAGAATGCCTTTTTTTATATTTTCAGGTAAATTTTGAAATTACTTTTTGTATAAATTTTAAGTATTAATAATTTATTAAAAAAAGAAATACATGTATACTTTGGTGTTTTTTTCCAGTTTGTGTGAAATGTATAAAATGATATTATATGTGAAAGACTTAAGAGTACTAAGCTTATTTAAACTTAATTTAATTTTGTTAATCTCCCGCATTACCTGAATCATCATCTAGAGCTTTAATATAATTATATAATTAAGAGATTCAGCAAGGATGTGGCCTATGATTAAATGGCTCCATAACAATGTTATAAATGACCCATTACAGAATGTTTCTTTTTTATACTATCATAGATTATACTTGTTTTAATTATTTAAAAGAAGTTATTACTTGAATAATGAAAGAAGTCTAACTGGATTAGTCAGAAAGTATCTTTAACAATGTATATATTACTCGTATATAGTCATCACTCATCACAATGTTATGATCTAATCATCATTATATTTCTATTCTTAATTAAATTGCTTCTTCGGATTTTGAAAGGATAAAATGTTGATCTTATAAATATGTCTCCACACAATGTTTATGGGTTCGGTAATTAAACATATCATTTACAAACGTTTCTATTTTCTTCAATTCTCTCTTCGGTGCAAGATTCGTTAAAACCTAAAGAAAACATGAAACATATAATTTAAAAAGCAATGAAGAAAACAAACCAAACCAAATTTTCCTATAACAAAATCTAACCAGACCAATCATATATATATTGTTAAACTTTTGTTTTTCTTCATTTTTAAATATTATAGATACTGAATTTTTTGAAGTAAACTATAAGTAATCTCTACGTTGTAAGGTTTGCATGTTCGAGCATTCTAACTTCCAAGTAACCAAGGCTCGAATAAAATGGGCTGAAGGCTGAAGCCCACGGTTATCTTTATGCTCACTTCGCATCTGATCCGATCCATATTGCAAAACTATAATATCACTTTTTCATTAGGAAAATTTGTATACATTTTTATATTGGTTGTTTCATCTTTTAGTATATAGTACATAACCTCATATAGATAAACCTTTGAAAAATTCACCACTTAGAAAAACAAACACTGCGAGACAGAAGACTGATATTACTAGTACACTGGCAGAGGGTAAAAATGTGGAAAGAATAGTTGTAAATTTATCATTTTGTAAGATGCAAACAATACTTTACAAAATTAGTACTATACTGCCACATTAATTGATTTTTCTTTATATTCCTAACAAAAAAAAAAGAGTGGTCCAAGTTTTTTGGAATCGAGACAAATATATTTCATTCACTGTGAACATAACTAGCCACGAACAGTTTGAGCATTATATATATGTAACTTGTAGCTCAACTTAGTATTGAAGAGAGTAGAGACATTTCTTTTGATATTGTATACAGTCTCGCAGTATTCTTATATTGTGATTGTGATTAAATCTATTAACTATTTCGTTTTTTGTTAGTTGAGAAAACAAGAATGGACTTCCACTTGATTCACATTTGGAAAAAAAAAAATTATAAAAGGAAGAATTTTTTTTTAAAATAGAATATATACATATGTATGTGTATATGATTTAAACCTGATTTTATCTTGTATTATATGTTATAATATAGAGAAAAACATTCTTGGTAAATTTGCATTATTCTATGGAATTTAAGCATGTTTTGCAAATGAAGATAGGTTTGATGAGGTGAGAAGATTAAAATAGAAGAGGATATTGCCTACACTGTGACCATGTCTCCCATGTGCCATCCTTTCTGTAAAGAAATATGGAAAATTAATTAATATTTATTTGCTAAACAAAGCAAATGGAGTGCTTTGACATTTGAAATGACATTTTGATTACTTTTTTAATTTAAAGAATCGTATTAAATTAATAAAGTGTTGAAAACTATGCGAAGGGTATCTTTGTGCCCAAAGTCTTTGGTTGGTTGTTAGGGAGAAGAAATGCTTACCAAAGTATACATCACTAAGCTTTCTTTGGCCCTTTGAGGAGGACAAAGCATTTAGCCACCTTACAACTATTATGGCTACCTATACCACGACTATTGTTTTCTTTTTAAATATATATATATATATATATATATATATATATATTTTAACATTTTTTTGATAATATATTTTTACTATTCTCTCTTATATTTGGCATTGTGTCTACAACTACTAGTTTAATGAGCAAATTAGCTAGAAGACAATAAAATTTCGGCCTAATTAGCTAAATGGCAAAAGTCATTATATGATCTAAACAAAAATAAATAATTTCGTGCAATCTTTCTTTGGCCCTTGGTGGAGGACAAAGCATTAGCCACCTTGTAACTATTATGGCTACCTATGCCAAGACTATTTTTCTATATTAAGAATTTTTTAATCATAATTTGAAGTAATTTGTATTACCATTCTCTTTAATATAGTAATATGAACAAAATTTTGGCAGTGTGTCTAGAACTGATACTTTAATGAGAAAGATTGCAAAAAGGCAATTAATTTTGGACTAATTAACAAAATGGCAAAATTCATTATATGGTCTAATAAAACAATTCACTACCATTTATCTCCATTTTGGTCTCACGCGTTTTATATTGACATTTACTTGATTTAAGTGTCAAAATAATTCTTGGTATCAAGTTCAATGTATTTTAATACTGTTGAAGTGTCATGGGCAATAAGTAAAGTTCATGAAAATTTTTATAGGTGGTTTCTAAAATATAATATCCAACATTTTTTAGTTCTAAAATAGTTTTTTTTTTTCTGTTGAGGTAGTTAAAAAACACTATAATGTTTTGAAGCATATTGGTGCAAATGGTCGAATTGAAACCAAACAAAATATAAAAAGAGAAGTGAAGAAAAAAAGAAAAAAAAAAGAAAGAATCAAATCAAAGATATAAAAAGAGTTAAGAAAAAGAGAGAAAAAAAAAGTAACAAGTATAAGATAGTGAGTGGAAGTGATGGATTCAATTATAAGTGTCTCTATCTTAAAAGAAGTCCCCACATTTTAAGAGATCTCAGTCATATTGTCCTCCAACCCATAGGAGAGCTTTAAGATGTTTGTTACCTCTTTTCCTTTTCTCTATCATTGTTAGTCCTTTTCATTGATCTATCGAGTTCACACTCTTATATCACTCACCATCATCCCCACCTCTTAATTTCTCTCTAACCACGACTATATATATGTTCCATTTTCATGAATCATGATGATGGTGCATCATACTATTAAAAGTTTTCTAAGTATAATAAACCCGAGATTATATCATTTTTATCGATATTGTAGCGATTTTTCGAAAGTTTATCGATATTGTAGCGATGCAAAAGTGTATCGAACGGATTTTGATTTTATTTCTAATGAATCAAGTTCATTGTTAGTCTTTTGGTATATATATATATATGAAGTATCATAGAGCATTTCAAATGAGGGGTATAATGTATCTAAAATTAGACACTATAGATGGTTCATAGTTCCTTTCCTCTATGAATAGCAAGTACCAACACCATACAAGGTACACACGTACGTACACACATATCTCAATATTAGATATGTATATGTGTGAGTGTAGCAATATATATATCTAAATAGGTGGACACCGTTGGTGTCGCGCATGACTTTCTAAAGATTCCAATAATGTTTTTGATGAGTACTGTTCCGAATCGCATACTTAATATTTGTTCTTGCTGTCATGCACAAAATGAAATAACAGTAATCATTTAAATATTATTTTGATAAATCATCTCTTCCACACGATGATAAATATATATTAATGCTTCGTGGACCAACTTCGTTTCAGAGTTGTCTAATTCATATATTGAAACTTATGGACAGTGGGTGTTCTCCAAATTTTTGATAAATCGCTTTCTCTTTTTGACCTTATAATAAACAAAATAAAGTTACACTTTACTTTTATTTTATTTTTCATTTCTATAAACTAAAAGATACAAAAATTTCTAGGTTTTCTAATATTTTTTTAGTGTGAGAACGCGCTTCCTTGACCCTTTTTTGTATAAATGTTAGGAAAGATCAGAAAAATATGCAAAACTAATACCAGCTTGTGAAATCATAGAGATATGTGTGTAATAATAAAACTTCCAACGTGTTATTTGGGGGATTTTGTTTTGTTAATTGAAACCATATATCATAAGGTAAATTTTGATGTAGTAACATGCTACCAAATGTCCTAAGATGATATTATATTATTTCTGAATTTAAAGAAAAAGTGTTTCCACGAATAAGTATAAAACGACTTCGTGAGTTTTAAGATTAAAACAAGTATGTTCGTGTGTGTGACCGTGTTTGTTTAAAATGATAGCTAAAAAGAGAAGGAGGACAAGAAAGGCTTTCACGTGATCATGCTTTTGGGAGTTTTAACATTGCAGCTAAGCTTCATTTTCATACTGCCTTTCTTACACTTGACCAACTTCTTGTCCACAATAAGACCTCTCTTTCATTCTTATTTTTAACCATTTTTCTTTTTCATCCAATCGAGTTGGTAACCAAGGCATGCAACCACATACTTATAGAGCTTAATTATGGATTAAGAACTGGTGAAAACTTCTACCTTTTAGTATATGAATTGTGAAAACTTAGTATACTATAATATTCTACAATCAACATATATATGTCGTTTCTTCAACTATAGCTTATTGAGTGCATAGAGCAAGCATTGATCCGAACCACTAAGCCACAATGTAACAATCATACCCAAGGGAAACTATAAACAACAATCACACGTTTATACTTTATAGTTTTGTA